TTTTTTTTTTGCTGCAGAGATCTAAGCTTCAACAGGCTTGAAGGACCGATCCCGAATCTGGATGTCCTGAAAAAGCTGGAGCTCTTGTAAGTGACATAACATAGGGATGAAATTTGTCATACTCAAAATTCTTCTTTCAGCTTGCATGCCTGCGCGTTGGCCTTATATTCTCAACAAATCCAACTTTTTTTTTCCCATTGAAATATATATGATAAAATTTAAACCTGATACATGAATGGCCAAGGTGCTGAGGCTTCAAACACGTTTATCGCCAAAGAAATTTCCATTGTATGACATTTTATTGGTTGTTCAGAGCTTGATTCATTTATTTATTAAGCTCCTTGTTCGAATTGATATCTCCAGTAGAATTAAAGATTTTGCTTTGCAAGGTACCTGACAAGCAATAAACTTACTGGGCCAATTGAAGATTGGATCAGAAGTAGAAATTCCAAACCGTAAGTTTATTACTTGTGATAACATGGTTTTACTTATAAATCTACTCATGCCTATGAGAATGCGAGATTCTCTTTATCTCAAGAACTTTAGATTCCATAAGCATATAGTCAGTCATAAATGTCAATGTTGCATGCACACAGTATTCCTTACAGAATTTCTTTTTAATCAACACTAACTTGCTGATTCTGTTTTGCACCATTTATAATTCTGTATTGGTATTGGTAGTAAAACTGACATTTGCATCCTGCAATCAGAAACAAAAATATTCCATCTCCTTTTATTACTTTTATAGTACTGGGAGAACACAAACACTAATTATGTTAGAAAACCGTATTTCCAGGGCAGACCTATCTTACAACAACTTCAATGAGAGTTCTGTGCCAACTACTTGTACGGAAAACCTGTATGATCCACGAACTTTATGCCTTGTTCCTGCTCATTTTTATTATTCGCGCACCAGCTGTTGTTATTTCTAAGAGACATTTCCTTCTTGGCAGAAACTTGTTCAGAAGCTATAACGCAACAAAAAAGTCGTAAGTCTTTAACTTGTCTTATAGGAGACTGGATGCATAATCATTTTCTTAGAGAATTTTCAACTGACCCTCCTTCCAACTTGATTCAGAGAACTCGGGAAATGCTTGTCAAGTAATCCTTGTTCAAAGAGTAAGTTTATCCTTCTACAAGACTAAGATTTAAATTCTCTCAATCTAAGATTCTGTTTTCAGAAGTTTCAGATCACAGTACTTTATCAATTTCTGTTGATAATGGAGAAACAGAACACTTGATGATGTCAGTTCTCTTTGTGTCTGCTATGTTTTGCAGAGGCAGATTTACTTCATGTGTTTTAATTATATGCAGATTGGGACTCAGTGCACATAAATTGTGGTGGTGAGAGTGTGACAATAGGGGACACCACTTATGAAGCAGATGAAAATTCAGCAGGTGCTGCAAAATTCTTTTACTGGAAAGAGAGCTGGGGAGCCAGCAATACTGGATACTTCTGGGGAACCAACTATGCTGAAGCCAGCAATTACTACAAAGCGACTAATGTATCTGCCATTAAGGGAGATGACGCTGATCTGTATACGACAGCTCGGCTCTCAGCTTTATCTCTAACTTACTATGGACGTTGTTTAGCAAATGGAAACTACACTGTGACACTGCACTTTGCAGAGATTGTTATAAGAGATAACCGATCTTTCCGAAGTCTTGGAAAACGGATGTTTGATATCTACATTCAGGTCAATTAACATTCATCTGAGTAGTACGCCAAGGTTTAGGTGCAGTTTACTTAATAATTTAAGTGGATGCAGGGCGAGAGGAAGCTCAGAGATTTTGATATTAGAAGTTTAGCTGGAGAAGTTGATAAAGCTTTGATAAGAAAGTTCAATGCAGTTGTAGAAGATGGCATTCTGGAAGTGCGCTTTCTGTATGCTGGGAAAGGAACAACAGCTGTCCCTAGAAGAGGAAGCTATGGCCCTTTAATTTCTGCCATCTCTTTTGAATCTAGTAACACTACTATTGCCCTTTGGTTCACTTCTTTCTCTTTCACAAACAAGCTTTAACGTTTCCAGATGTTGTTAATTATTGTCAGAGAGCTTAAACAAATGACTTCATATTTTTCCTCATTCACTTTAAGATTGCATACAAACAAATGCTAGTGGACTTTACACTCTTGCTCTCCTTCTTTTCAATATCATAGATAGCAAGCCCTCTGCTAATCACAAAAAGATAGTTCACATCATAGCTGGAGCAGTGACGGCCTCGTTAATTCTCATTTTCGCGATATTGTTTGTTTCATGGAGGAGAAGCAGAAACAGGATATCAAAGGAAGCAGGTGATGCTACAGCCGAGCAGTCCTATTTCAATGTCTTATGTTTTAAATACATAGAACTTGCATATGGTTTGCTCTCCATGATTTCCTGAAAAAATCTAATCCTAATGAAACTTAGGGATTTTGAAAACAAGAAACATTATGGAAATATGCATTTGATATTACATATTTTCCACATTATATGGAAGCATTACACCTTTTAAATGTTCTCTTTTTCTTTAAATGTACAGAATTAAGAGGATTAGATCTACTGACTGGTGTATTTACCATCAGACAAATCAAAGCTGCCACAGACAATTTTGATGCTGCAAATAAGATCGGGGAAGGTGGTTTTGGTTCTGTCTACAAGGTTAATCTCAACCTGAGCTCTCACAAGCTTTCTAATTTTTTTGGCTTAGCTACAGCATCTAGACGTGGATACTACGTATAGACAACCTCCATTACATTTTATTTTTTCCTTTTATATTAATGAACAGGGTACACTATTGGATGGTAAAGTTATTGCTGTTAAGCAGCTTTCATCCAAATCAAAGCAAGGGAACCGTGAGTTTGTAAATGAGATAGGTATGATCTCTGGCTTACAGCACCCAAATCTCGTCAAACTATACGGATGTTGTGCTGAGGGAAATCAACTGCTACTGGTGTATGAGTACTTGGAGAACAATAACCTTGCCCGTGCTTTATTTGGTAATCTAATATCCTTGTTCATTGTTTTAGTTTCACGTCAAACAGAACATAAGCTAAAATGAACAAGAACAAATATTGCTCTTTTGTAATTAAGGAAAGAGTTCAGAATGAGAAGTCAATATAGATATTTAGTTCACATCAAAATGCAGGTCCAGAAGAGCATCGGCTCAATATAGATTGGCCAACCAGGCAAAAGATCTGCATTGGGATAGCAAAAGGCTTAGCTTTCCTACACGAAGAATCGTCATTAAAAATTGTTCATAGGGACATCAAAGCAACGAATGTTCTTCTCGACAAGAAGCTAAACCCGAAGATTTCTGACTTTGGTCTGGCCAAACTTGACGATGAGGATAACACACATATCAGCACTAGAGTTGCTGGAACCATGTGAGTTTTCTGCCAATTCTCTCATTCATGTTTACGTTCTTGTGTTCTTCGAGTAAGAAATATATCTATTGGAATGGTCACACTGCGGTTAATTCTACATGTCATAACTCATAATTTTCTGCAATGATAATTATTGATGTAGGTCTATATGTTGTTCTCATCCATGCAGCATATATACATTTAAGATCTCTAGAATCCTTACATTCGCTCTTTCTTGCATTTCGGATATCTTATACAAGGCAACTTGCCATAGTTATTGTATGTATTCTTAACGAAGAAACTGTGGTGAAGTTACAAGGACTAAGATATAATGGCCTGGCTACCCTTAAAGAAGGCTCATTCGGACGCTTGGTCATATTTCTGGTGCTGATTGCATTGCTTCAATTTTTAGGGATAGAAATGGTTACTGGCCTATGTATCATCTTCAAACTTAAAGTTTCTGCCAATGATTGTTGACTTGTATTTCGTTCCAATCTATCATTCTTGACATTATGAAATATCAAGCACGAAGTTGATACCACTTTGATCAGGGTTTGAACATTTATATGTCTATTGCCAAATAGTCCCAATGCACAAATTTAAAGTTGTCACTCCGGTCTGCAGAGGATATATGGCACCTGAATATGCACTATGGGGATACTTGACCTACAAAGCAGATGTCTACAGCTTTGGAGTTGTTGCGTTAGAGATTGCTGCTGGGAAGAGCATTATGACATATCGCCCCAATGAGAAATTTGTCTGCCTTCTAGATTGGGTAAGGAATCATAATCCCTGATATTAATTCCTAAGTTGCACACTATTGAACTAGTATCTTGCATTTTATTCAATT